CGGTGTCGCTGTGCTTGCGGCCTGACCTGTAGACCACAGTCATGTTGAACTCTTGCAGTCGGAGACTCCATCGAGCCAGGCGTCCTGACGGGTCCTTGAGGTTCGCAAGCCAGCACAGCGAGTGGTGGCCCGTGACTACACGAAACGGGCTGCCGTACAAGCACGGACGAAACTTCGTGATTGCCCAGACGACCGCAAGGCATTCTTTCTCAGTCGTGGAATAATTTTTCTCCGCTTTGGACAGTGCCCGACATGCGTAGGTGTTAACTCGCTCGATGTCTTTTTGCACTTGAACCAGCACCGCGCCAAGTCCAGTGTTACGTGCGTCCATGTGAATCTAGGTTTCCACATCCTGATCAAAATGTCCAAGAGCAGGAGGAGTCTGCCGTCCTCGCTTCAGCTTGTCGAATGCCTGCTGCTGCTCCTCAGTCTATTCGAACTTCTCGGCGTCCTTTGTGAGGTTTGAGAGCGGAGCGAAAATTTTTGCAAAATCCTGAACGAAGCGCCGATAGTAGTTCAAGGAACCTTCGCACAGCCTTCCTGTCTGTCGGCGCTCTGGGTATACGCCTTCTCTGGGTCTGGGTATACGCCTTCGTTACTAACCACGTGACCTAGAAACTTCAGTTCGTCATAGGCGAGGAGACACTTTGACGGCTTGAGGGTGACTCCGGTGGTCCGTATGGGTTGGAGAACAGCTCGGAGTCGTAGCAAGTGCTCGTCAAAGTCGCCGAAAAACACTACGACGTCGTCGAGGTAGACGAGACAGCTCTGCCACTTCAGTCCTGCCAGTACAATGTTCGTGACACGCTGGAAAGTTGCTGGCGCCTTTCATAGTCCGAAGGGCATCACCTTGAACTCGTACAGTTCATCCGGTGTGACAAAAGTTGCCTTCCCTCGGTCCCGTTCATCGACTTCAATCTGCCTGTAGCCGCTCGTCAGGTCCATCTATGAAAGTATCGAGAGTGGCGCAAACGGTCTAACGTGTCGTGGATGCGGGGGAGTGGATAGACGTCTTTCTTCGTCGCCGCGTTCAGCTCCCGGTAATCCACCCAGAACCTAAGCGTTCCATCCTTCTTCTTAACCAGTACGACTGGAGAGGCGCACGGACTGCTTGAAGGATAGATTCTTTCGTCGTTCAGCATCTTTTGAACTTGCTCCTGGATCACCTCCCTTCCTTTAAAGGAGACTCTGTACGGCGATCGATGCACAGGGAGCGCGTCGTCCTCGGTAACGATGCGGTGCTCCGCAATGGCGGTTTGGCGCACCTTAGACGGCGTCGCAAAGCAGTCGCGGTATCCAGCGAGGAGGTTAATCAGCTGCCGTCGTTTGGGGCCAGGAAGCTTAGCGTCAATGTCGAGCTGCGCTGGCAACATTCTGTCTTGCTGAAGTGCCAAGGATTCGTCAGTAATGGCTGCGATTTCGACGGAGTGTCGGAGTTCCTCGACGTGGCCAATGGCTGCACCTTTCATGAGGTGTTGCGTTGCATTTCGATACTTCGTCAAGAGGACCACAGTGCGGACATCCTGAAGTTCAACTACTTCTCTTGCGACGCCTATTGCTCTTTCTAGAAGTAACTGGGGGCTTCCCTTGAGCAGAACTTCGCCACAGAGAGCTTCGATGATTTCGACGGGCACGAAAACACCCAACCGCGTCGGTAAATTCCTCGTAGCTTGCTTGGACTCGGACCGCGGAAGACGTGCCTTTGGGTTCCTCCGGTGGTGAAAGTTTTCCGTAGCTTCAGCCGGTTTGCTCCAAGATCGATGACGGCGCCATACTCGCAGAGAAAGTCCATATCGAAGATAACGTCCCTCGCACAGTCTTGCAGAACGACGAACTTCACAGGGCACGTCTCACCATGGATCTTGACGCGAGCAGTGCATCTCCCGACTGGTGTGATAAGGCGCCCACGGGCGGTTCGTATTTGAGGGCCTTCCCACGGCGTTGTCACTTTTCGCAGGCGGCGAGACAGCCTCCCACTCAAGATTGAGTAGTCTGCTCCGGTATACATGAGTGCCGATGTGTCGTGGCCGTCGATAATAACGTTTAGGTTTTTGGACACCGATGCAGGGGCGTCGTTGTGATGCGTAGCGTCGGGAGAGTGGGCGCGCCTTGGCGTTTTTGCAAGCTCTTTACATTGGTCGTCTTCGGCCCCGCCACCTCCAGGCGTTGCCGCACTTAGTTTTCCCGGCGACGCAGGGGAGACAGGCTCTCTTGGCGGGGTCGTGGCACTGGAGACGCCGATCGTGTGAGCGACGGCGAGCGGGATTCACTTCGGAGAGGCGGCGCTGAGGATGGCGAACTTCGGAGGCATTTCTCGATGTCGCGAGGGCGTTCGCCGTACCTTGGGCGCGGGTCATTCGGGTTGAACCCGCGCTGCCCCAATTGTCGGTAGGGGCATGAACGGTAAGTGTGTTCGGCTTCACAGCAGTGATGGCACATGGGTCGACGATCCGGTGTTGGTTTTCCTTGGAGCCGGTTGGTCTTGGCGGTCGCAGTGATGTCGTTCGTTGTGGCGTCGGGTGTGCACCTCCACTGCTGAGTCCTGTCGTGGCGCCACCGGGTAATGTTGAGTAGCTGGCGGCGGTCGTTGGGCCATTGTGGCGTAGCTCAGCGTAGGTGGTTTCGGAGCGGCGCTGACGAGAACCTCTGATTGCAGGGCTTCCTAAACTTCTTCCTTGACAATCTCGGTGATTGAGGGCGAAGCTGGGCTTACGGCGGCAGGTACAAGCTTCTTGATTTCTTTCTGGACGACATCGCATATGACCTCGCAGATGTCCGTGGTGTTGCAGCCGGAAGACGAAAACGCAGCGACGCCGGGAAGTCACTGATAGTGTCTGGCGCGTGCTAGTAGGGCACGTTCCATATTCGTCGCCTCCCTGACGAACCCGTCAACAGTTGTCGGGGGATCGCGGATGAGACCGCCGAATATCTCGCTTTTCACACCCCTCATCAGGTGATGCAGCTTGTTCTCCTTGGTAGCCTGAGGATCGGCGCGGGCGCTCAGGCGGAGAACATCCTCGACGAAGCTGGTGATGCTCTCATTTTAGGCCTTGGGCCCTTGTTCGCAGATCTTCGGCCCTATCACGCCGACGTTGGCACGCAAACGTCTCCTTCAGTTCTTGCTTGCACACTTCCCATGAAGTCAAGGAAGCCTCGCGGTTTTCCAGCGAGGGCCTCGCAGTTTCTTCCAGCGAGAAAGAAATATTCTGCAAGCAGTGCTCAGCTGATCACCCGTTATGGCGGGCCACAATTCATAGTGTTGCAGCCAATCTTTAATATCCTCGTGGACCTCATCGTAGAATTGCGTCGGTGGCTTTGGTGCGCCGGGTAGGTGTACAACGGCAGCGGCGGTTGGGGTCCGCGAGGACTCGTTGTTCATCGTCGTCCTCGTTGGCTGCTTGGTATTGGCCGCTGGGTGGCTAAAGTCCGAATTCCGGGTGTAGGCCTTGAATCCGGCTACTTAATCGGTTCTTGGTAGTGTCTTCGTCGGATCGTCGTGGGCTTGCTGTCGGACTTGCACTGCGGGCCCTCAGGAGGTACGCTGCAGGGATATACGGTACCCCGAACCTCCACTAGAATCTCTCAGGCGGCGACCTAAAGAACGGCAAATAAACAGGAATGAATAAACGTTTAATAGGGCGAACTTTTGCCCAAAACAAAAACAAAACAGAAGATCACAATAGAGCCTCGCGGGCGTCAATAGGGGCGTGACAGCAGGACCGAACGCTGGGGCGAGACTGATTCCGGCTCGCCACGTGGAGCCCCTCTTGTACTCACGTGGGCTTCTGGAACAATCGACGTAGAAGAATCGACGCGAAGAACATTCTTACCTCGAACATGCAACAGAGTTTTCAAATTCACCAGTCACTAAATTGCAAGAATAAATAAAAGACGCGCCGCTCCCAGGAATCGAGCTCTGGCTCCTCGCGTGGGAGGCAAGCGCGATAACCGTTAGGTCACGACCGCACTGCCTACTTGACCAGCTGCGCGCGCGGCAATATGCTCCTCTGAGTCTTTTTGATGACACTCGACAAGTTTCTAATTTAAACCTGGCGTTTGTTTTAATATTTGAACCAATATTTGGCATAATTTGCTGATCGTGACGGCCCTTATACTATGTCTCCTTAGCCGTATGACTTGCCCGCATAAACCGCTTTAGTGGCGGGACAACTGAAGATTTTCCCTGTCGTTCTCAAATCTCAGCTTGTCAGTGATCGGCCAGGAGTTGCCTCTACGCGGTGTTTGTAGTCGAGCGTTCCTTACTAGCTATTCTGAAATTATCAGGCCATATTTGGAGTTTGGACTTTGAGCTTGCATTGGGTACACGAGCGTTGCGTTAACGCTCAGCGTCAACTCGGATCCAATCGCACGCTTGGCGCAGGTAGCCGTGCCCCGAAAAATATGGCGGCCGCCGGTGTTCCCAACTTTTGGTGAGGATTCTTATAGGGGGACATGTAAAGACGAAGGTTGTCCTAAAGGGGGAGACATTAGAAGGCTTCGGCGAGCTTAGAACATTTTCACCAGATTGGATTTAGTTGTCATTTAGTTATGAAACTCTTTACAATAATAATATTAATAAACAGACTTAATTTTCATCGAGTATGATGGTAAACTCAAAGAAAGAAGCTGTAGTGAACAGTTTGACAATACTCGGACCTTCACAATGACCGGAGAAAACGCAAAAACAGCAACGCACTAGAATGAGCTAAAGTTAAACAAAAAATCATGCGTCTAGAAAAACGTGCAGACCTAAACAAGATCACATGCCTTGAAAAAATATTGTACGCAAAGGCAACGTTGTCTTTAAGCGTTTAGACTGTCTAGATCCATACTATTTATCCGGAGATTCTTCATTAAACGCGGTGGAACTTCGCATTTGCTTTTGATGTCTTTCCGAGTGCTTTCGGAACTCACGAGGGACCTTCCGGAAGCGAAAGGAAACCCTTCGGTAGAGGCGCTATGTTCGGGCGTGCCTCTGATGAGCCGGGTTTTCCTCCCAGGCAAGGGCTTCGTCAGGAGCGAGGCCGTGGGAGTTTTCTTCCTCCAGCGGGTCTCGGATGCACGCCGCATCTACGCCAAGCTGGTACACGTCAAAGCCAACGCCGACGGCTTCAAGGCCGAAGGTGAGCGCGGACCCCAAAGGAACTTCGGCTGTGTCGGGGACACACTGGCCACTATTGCATGTCGGTCGCGTACTTGGCCAATAGCATCTAGAAAACGCTTTTCATATGAAACATCGTCACATCCACGCGGCGCCGTACAGCTTGCGTCGGCGTCGCCTTCCAGCGTGTCTCGATGCAACGGGAGCGACTCTAGCACTCGGCCGACGCCAATGTGGATGCGCGTGCCAGTTTGCGGTGACGAGGTTCAGCGTGCTTGCCGCTTAGGGCGGGTCCACTAACAGTGACATCATGCACGGGCCTTGTCTTCGAGCTGGTGTGACTCAGTCCGCTGCAACACGCTACTGCATGCGCCCCTTCCATGTGTGGTAACTGCAAAGGCAAATGGAGCAAGATGTCCAGGAGACATCTTCGTCCAGACATCGCGGGTGGGCCTTCACCTGTAGACGCCTCTTACAGGGTGTGCTTCCCAAAATATTAACAGAAAGTTCTTTTGTTGTTGTTGTTTACTGCAAGAATAAATTTTGCATCGCCGAACGCTCGTTCTCCGCCTAAATATAGCACTAGAGGTTCGAACCAGATGGCAACGTTCAAGAACTAACCGTTGTATCATTACAAAATTGTGATTTTCTGAAAACAGTTGATAGGAATATGGGGCCCGTTTTTGCTAGTTTTCAGTAACTGACGGCGTTCGGCTTGTGTGGGAGTGCTCCTTCCGTCGGTCGCAAATTCCCCATTGGAAAATTAAGAAAATCGCCCTTGAAGAAGATAACTGTTAGTTGTAATACTTGGCATCTGGTCCGGACCGCTAGAGCTACATTTGGGTAGAGACATACTCGAGGCTCGTTCACACGCTTGCCCCTGCTTACAACCGAGTGCATTACGACATCTTGTAGGCACTTACGTCGAAAGAAAACCCTGGCTCCATCTATCGAAAAACCGTAGAACACTCGCGATTGCCGTATATTTCCTTTTTTTCGCGCATCGTTCTTTCGCTGTCGGCACGTAAAAACTTTACACAATGAATGACCATTTTTCATAAGGAGTACCGACGTTTGGCCTCGTAAATGCGGCCAAACCCTTGCTCTGGAGGAATGCAGTTCTAGGGTTCACCCCCTGAAAAGAACTGGAGCAAACCAAGATGATTATGGTCTCGGCCCTCGACTACGTCGGGTCAGCGAACATGGGATAACACACGATCTCACCCCATCACTCGATCTCACCCCACCACTCGGTCCAACCTCCCATTTCCCCTCCTGTTAAGATGACTCATAGTCAAGCTATCTTGGAGTTTCTTTCCTCTTAATCAACGCATTATACTACCACTAGATATTAAAAAAGATCATAATGCAATCGGTCTACGGCAGTTGCGGTTGCGTGAACCAGCCTTGAGCGTTTGGTAATGCGTAATTTGTTCTTGCAGAGGAAACAAACAAGATGTATACAAGCGCCAATATACTTTCAAAAACTGGTAAGCATAGAATGCTGGGGGAATAAAAGGAGGGAGGCCGGATTACGCACCTTTACGTCCGGGGACCTTTCCGGTACTCTGAGGGTAATCCGATGCCCGTCCCACCGCGCGGCCGACGGCTACCAGCGAGGGTGGTCGCCGCGCCGGGTTCGGCCAACGCCCTGCCAACAACGAGAATCCCGGTATCCACCAGCGTTTATTGAGTACCAGGGGTCCCTAACAAGACACTGCAGTCAAGCGAGCCGTGGACACAGTGTGGCCGTAGCGCCCGCCGACCTGAGAGCCACAGGGGTAATTGCGAGCGGAGTCATCGCTGGTCGGACGAGCTACCCGTCGTCGCAGGAGTTCGGGGCCATGGCTCTCGGCACACGGACGTCCACAGGCAGTGAGGACGCCGACTGTCATAGCCAGGGGAATCGATAGCGTAGAGTCAACGCCGGTCGGACGAGCTCACGCCGCGACTCAACCTGTTGCCCGGAGTCCAATCCAGGACTCCCCGACCACACGGCCGTCCATACGGAGGGCAGGCCCGACTCTACCCCGCGATTTCGGTCATCTCCGAAAACCGGAGACGTGCGGAGGAGCGCGAGAGAGTAGGCCAGCAAGGTGGCGCACTCTCTCCAACACGATACGGGACGAGCCAGCTCGAAGCCAGACAACTCCGGCCGGCACGTTCACGGCTTACGCCTTCTCGGGGGAGGGAAACCAGTGGCTCCTCCAATGTGTAGTAAGCCATTTATCGACAGAGGGGCCCCTGGTGAAGGCTGTTCCTGCTACTTTCGTCGCCGTCTCTTGTGTTCCCGATAAGCTCGCATACGCGCTACGGTTCTGCTTTTTAGGGAGGCCACGGTGTCAGAAGAGGTGTCTGAGGGCACGTTTCACCACGGAGAAAGTGGGTCGAAGATTCGCTCCAATTGTTGACAAAAAGCCCTGAGATGGCGCACCACAACAGGAGCTGGAGGAACCGCCCTTATTCGCGAAAAAATACTCGTGCAATTAAAATAAAAAAAAGCCCTCGATAGTTCTCTGGGTAAAGCACTTGACTCGCAATCTCAACGCCGTGGGTTCAACTCCCACCGGAGATTTCTTTTGGGTCGTTTATATGGTTCCCTACAGGAGTAGTAGCTGTTTTCGGCGTCGAATTTTTCTTAAGGCCCGTTCACATACTTGCGACCGAGTAGAACCGACCGAAACAAGACCGGGTTTTAAGCCTCTTGCGACGGCTTAGGAGTGGATGCGCTGCTGCGGAGCAAGTTCTAAGCCGTCGCAAAAGGGTCAAAAACCGGTCTTGACTCAGCCGGTCCTACACGTTTGCAAATGTATGAACGGCCCTTTACAAACAAACTTTACAAATCTCAATGGAAATGGTCGATGAAACATATTTCGTGTCAAAAGAAGAGCACATTTTTTGGGGTGTGTGTGTGTGTGGGGGGGGGGGGGGGGGGAGGCGGGGAGTACGCTCTCTACTTGGGGGGCAGAGCGGTGATTCTTTCCTCGTTGCAGGCATCACGTTTCCCTCGGGCCGTGCCCAGGAGGCACTTCTGCGGGACGTGTACGAGGAGGCCCGGGTCGACCCCTACTCGGTGTCGTACGTCGAGGCGCACGGCACGGGCACCAAGGCGGGCGACCCCCAGGAGTTGAGCGCCATCAGCAACGTCTTCTGTGGCGAGGGACGCAAGGAGCCGCTCCTCATCGGCTCCGTCAAGTCCAACATGGGCCATTCCGAGGGCGCCTCCGGTGAGCGTCCCTCCCGCGACGAGACGTGCCCGAACCGGAGCAACATGTTTAGATCAATTGACCAGCTTTACGAATAAGTGGCGTTCGAAAACGGTTCTTCTATGCCGCTGGTCGCGAGTACATACGGGCGCATAGCGATCCAATCGCTACCGCTCCTACGGGTGACGGCCGGAGAAAAACGGCTTATGTACGACCCTCGATTTGCGCAAAGTTCGTTCACCGTTAAAAAAAAGAAAAAAAAAGAAAATCGCTTTTTACCGCAGCCAATGTACATTCAACGTTCCACCGATTCCGTACGCGTGTGTCCCTGTTCTGTTGCTGACAGCTCGTTGAGGTCCGAGCGCAGGCGCCACGAAAAGACGCCCGGCTTTCTAGAAAGCTTGCCAACTGAGCTCGACCCTGTAACCTTGGTCTGCAACGCGTCTCCGACTGCCGTGTTAAGCGGCTCATCCTGGCCGTATAAAAGAAAGTGGTCCCAAAATGGCGACAAGTGACGTCACATGAGCTGATGTGTTACGTTGGCGGATGTCTCGATCTTGGCGGTTGGCGCCGGAGGTCCCTGCAAAATGTACGAGCGAACGCGAGTGTCGCTGTCGCCGCGGGGTCCCTCAGGTCCTCCGTCCTGGCTCAAGCTTCCGTGGACTGCCAAGCTGGAGAGCGACCCGCGACAGAACGGGCGTCTGCCACAGTCACCATCGCCGCTGTGACGCCGCCAGGATCGCAACCGGCGACAGCATGACATTTCTATGACATCGGGCACGCGTAAATTTAGAGGTGGACTTTTTAGCCGGCGGTAAACACATCATGCCGGAGACGCGTTTCCAGGCACCCCTGCAGGCACCATGACTCGCGGACTTTTGGCTTAAACTGAACTACAGGGTAGACTTTCGTCGAACGTGTAGTTCAGATCATAGAGACCCTCAGCTTCTCGTCTTCGGTGGGAGTAGATGACAATAATTTAAAGTTATTTTACAGCGGAGGTCTTAGGCGCCCGTTTCCGGGCTGAAGGGCGTCTCCGTCGGCGTCGGCGTAACCGCGCTAAGTTTACCGGGAAAATTGACCTCACATGTCCGCAACACCAATTCAGTTTCCCAGCTAAATTTAGCGGGAAAAATAACGTCACATGACTTGGTGTGACATCACCTATGAACAAATTACTTTTCTCCGCTAGATTTAGCGGGAAAATTGACGTAACATAAACACAACATTAATTTCCCCTCTAAATTTAGTGGGAACATAAACGTCACGTGACGTCAACACCAGTTCAGTTTCCCAGCTAAATTTAGCGGGGAAAATAACGTCACATGACTTGGTGTCACGTAACCTATGAACACATTCAGTTTGTCCTCTAGATTTTATCGGAAAAATTGACATCACGTGACCTGAACAGCAATTCAGCTTCCCTGCAAAATACACTCTTCAAATGCCAACAAATGACCGAATTGATAGCCCCAAGTATGCCCATGTTTATGTCTCCTCTTTTTCTCTTTTTGTTTAACGTTTTCTTTAAAAGACACATCACACTTGGAGCTAGTAGAGTGCTAGTAACGTCACCCGGATTTTGTACCTAAAACCGCACCTTTTTGTTTGGGGCTAGAGGGGTTCTGTCGGCGGAAATTTGTGACGGCAACGACCAATGGACCATTTCTGGAAATCACCGGTTTAGAAAGTTCTGCTATGAAAATGCGCAAGCATGTTTTTAATCGAGCGCAGGCACTCCCTCGGCCAAGGAAGCTAGATCCTACTGGCTTTCTTAAGCTTAAGTTACCTAGATTGGGCTTCTCCAAAGCCCCTTGTCTGCCTCTTTTGGCTTAACGTTTGCTCCCAAGCTAGTCTGAAGGTGTTTCTTTCATCTCGTTCCGAATGCGAGCACTGCTTCATCCTCGAAATCGTCGAACCCAGTTTTCTGCCAGGTGGAGCCAGTTATTTCTAAACTGATCGATTCTGATTCTGAAACCTTCACCTCAATACGTCACGAATGATTTCAGCAGATGCAGAAGGGATTCGATCCCTTGCCCTTGCCTTGCCGGTGGACCCTTTCCTGTGTTACATGTGTTTCCGTCTATACTTTTCTCATATTTTTTTTGTTTGAAGGTATAGGTGCTCCGCCTCTCCCTCGACTGCCCTAGTGAAAAGTCTTGTATGTATAAGAAATATCTTTGTCCCATAAACGCATACGATTAATTAAGATCCTATAGGAACATACGAGAACCTTGTAAGAACATATCAGAACAATATAGGATTACATAAGAAGTTATAAGAAACTTTTTATCAGTTTCTTATAACTTCTTATAAAATCCTATATTAGAGCGCAGCTCTTAGGGGCCCGTTTCCAGCCTGAGCGGCGTCGGCGTAACCGGGGGGGGGGGGTCACGTGACCCCCCCCCCCAGGTCACGTGACCCCCCCCCCCCCCCGAGGTCACGTGACTACCCGCAGGTGACGCGACCCCCCTCAGTACCCTTCCCTACTCCTCCTCAAGAGCTGCGCTCCGATTCGGCGTTACAGGGATTTGTAAACGGCTTTCATTTTGTTCTTATACTTTCTTATAAGGTTCTTGTATGTTCTTGTATGATCCTATTTGATCATAGGCGTATATTGGACCAAGGACCTTTAAGATTTTTCACTAAGGTGAGAGGACCACTTGTACTCATTCTTTGTTGTTGGTGAGCGACAGAGGCCACTGTCCTCGCGTCTATGTTCCTCCTGAGCGTGCACGTTTGTCGTTCGCTAGCGTACTCATCTACACGTTTGACTGTATAACAACTTATAGTTTGGCTGTTAGGCATATACAGGGTCTTCGAGATAAATCCGGAGATATATTCACCATATTCCGGAGAGAACAAAGTGGCAAAGATAAAGTAAATATCGACTGTTTTTTGTGATTTGCAAAGTCTGCCCTAACGTCTTCCTGTATGACAGATTATGTAACCGTCTTGGCAATGCTGTAAATTTGTGTCTTCTCGTAGCCATACCGCGCAATGGTTTGCTTAGGTGACTTTCCGGCGTGAAGCGATTCGAGTATCGCTGCCCTCAAGTCATATTGTCGGCTCAATTTATGAGTAACTTGCGAATAGTTTATCATGCGATGGTGCGCTGTCGAATTACGTGGCCGCAGAAGCGCAATTAGGCCGGTTAGCTTCACGGCATTGTTGACAGACAACTTCTAAACAAAGAATCGCGGCGAGGCATAGCATGAAACTTATTGCGGAATGTGTCCTGAGTCAAGCCTGTCGCCAAACTAAAGCATGGCAGGTGCCATGTCTACAATATGTGAGACCCCTTTTTTTTTTCTAAAATCTTTCTGCACTCAATGGTTGCATATCCTGAAATATTTTAAAGTAAACTTAGATTGCAGAAGCTAAGGCGCTTCTTGAAATGCATAATGATCGCAACAGAATGTTATTTTTAGCAGAGTCATCACAAGTAGACAATTCCCTTTAGGCTTTTTATTCTTATATTACCAGCTTTGAACATACTTGCCAAGTATCGTTGAAACTCTTCAGGTATTTGTACTCTGCTAAAGATAGTTCGTAGTAAAATTAATTTAAATATTAGATTTTAAAAATAATATTACAGAAAAACTGTACATCTCTACCAGCCAAGGTGATTCTCGTGTCGTTGGCGTTGTAAGCGAAAATCTCCCGGCGAACAATTGAAGGCAAAACAGCATATCTCCTTTGAAATCAGGCTTACAGCAAACAGCTCAGTATCCGTTTCAATAAAGAAAGCCAAAAAAAAACAAGCATCACAACCACATGATGGGTGACAAGGCGCGTGTGAGCAATAGGAACACCCTCCCACGCGTTCCGGTAAAGAGTAGGTTTGCAGCTGCTTCGAGAGGGGTTGACGTCAGTTGAAGCCCTCGTGTGAAGCGCAAACCGCATAACGGGTGATAACGGCGCCAGCGAACAGTGCGAAGCACGTTCTTTCTCCCCGCGTGTGTTTTCGTGTCAAACATCTCACGCAAAAAAGAAAAGACTTCAGAAGATTGAAGCGAAAAGTACAAACACCACACATGCAACATACAGCACAACATTCGTTTCAATAAAATATAAGCACAAAACAAGCGTCATAGCCATATAATGAATGATAAGGAGCTTCTGAAAACAATGCGAAGCACGTAGCGCTCACCCCATACGTTCCCGGTGAAGATTACTGTTGGCCAAGCAACCGCTGTGACGGCAGCTTGCGACGTGGGGAGTGACGACGTCACTAGCCTTTCATATATAAAAGAAGAACCCGCCTATGCCCTATTTCACCTTCGTCTGGACGCAGCGGTTGCTACGAGCTATCTTAGCCAATCCCGCTCTGTGGACGTGGCCTGTGATACGCTTTCCGTGCGTCGCTGTGCCCCCTCTCTAAGGTCATGTGACGCTCACGCGGCCTCCCATTGGCTCCGATGGCTCGCAACATCCGCTGCACTTAAACTTAAGATGAAACGGAGTCTAGCAACTGATTTCATTGTTGCTGCAGCACCGCGAGGAAAAGGCCACGCATAGTTAGGACTCCCGAGGAGCAGCGTGAATACTAGGAGCGGCAAAGGGAAAATTAACAGCAATACAACCCGCGGCGGCGTGCTGCGACCGGCGGCGGCATTTTGTATAGTGCAGTAGGCACTTGTTGGAGGTGATACCACAGCTTCGCTGACCAACGACCTTCACAGCGTGGATTGGAACCCCAACTTTTTCAGTATCTTATCTTAAATAACTTTTAATTCTGCATAAGTCCATGAATAATGAAAGAAGTCCATTCAGGGGAAGTTAAAACAAGATAACTTGCAAACACTACTTCTTACAGGTGTCTTCGTAGTCCTGTTTTTTTTTTGCAACGTCGGGAGACATCACCCCCCCCCCCCCCCCGCCCAAAGAAAATAAAAAAAACTGCTCCAACATTAGGTTTATATTGATAGGCAACACCTACCGTATCATAAATTTAAGGAAGGTCAGATATTCGAAAATTCACGCACAATATTTAATTGTGACATGGATGTCGTAAACTG